AACTCTTATTTCTACTCCTTATAGAGAACTTTACACAGATTACCACTCGCAATGTTCTTCATTTGCTGTATGCCTGTTTTGAGACCCTGGGGTCCAAACTGCAGCAGTACTTCAGATTTGCAGTCAGCATACAAACTCACATTTGAAGTAGAGCTCTCATTAAATGTTTATCAACATGAAGAACACTGAAAAGCATATACTGACCATTTCAGTTTGAACACCTTGAGATTTCAGCACTGTGCTTATTCAGTGACAGAGAATTCCATCTCCTCACATCGAAGTGATCTTATGAGAATCAAGTAACTGTGATGCAGTCAGGCATGCTCTGCCACTGAATATCAGAGAACTGTCACAAAGAAATCACAAAATTTGTCCTCAAAGTACAAATTTGAACACTGTAAGGCAAAAATAGTGGCGGACTGCTAGCTAAGTAAATGTGGGGGGAAAAGTTTCAGAGATCATTAAAACAACCCTATCTTGACAGGCAACTGCACATGTGGCTTACAAGTACCAACCATCATACATACCAAATAGTAGGCTGGCACCTTCCAGTTTCAATACCCAGCTTTGCAAACTTACTCTTTTTATGTCATTTCTGTGCTGTTTTTAAACAGATAAAAAATTGCTGAAAGACCACAGGTGTGACCTGCAGAAAAGGCGGTAGGATTAAGTAGGAATTGATTAAATTATCAAGTTACATATACTCAGTTACACCTGAAGTGAAGTCCACACTGATCTTTCCACTGGCAGCATAGTTCACTGCCAAAGGGAAGTTCATTTGCGCTACAAAGACATACAAGCCTATTACTCAGGATCAAGTCTATTTAAAGTAAGAAAAAAATGAAAGAAAATTTAAGACCTTGACTTAAAAAAACATGAGAGAACTGTTTGATCTGGAAAAAAGCTGCTTGCAAAGCAAGTGCAGAGGAAATTTAGTTAAGTTCAGATGAACATAAAATTCAGGAGAAAGGGGAATATACTTGGAATTTATAAGATAAAACTAGTTTGCAAATACCACAAATCTGCATTCTCTCTCCTTCCTACTGTCTAGTTTTTTGGAAACAAATATAAACACAAACCAACCACAAACAACTAACAACTATTAGGAAGCTGGAGTTGTCATAGCTGAAAAATCACAGAAGTCAGGAAATACAAAAATCAAAGATTGAATAACAACATTGACTCAACTGTGTCACAGGCATGTTTTCTTCTACTGTCTTGTCTTAAGTTCACAACTTAATAAATTGCTATGGACATCATTACATTTATGCCACAAAATACACAGGATATCCACTGTGGTTAAGCTGACATGTTAAAAGCTTAATACTTGCATTTTCCTCATTTTGTGCTGAGCAAACCTGAAACTGCACTATTGTGGTGGTTTGACCTTGGCTGGATGCCAGATGCCACCAAGCTGCTCTATCACTCCCCTCTTCAGCAGGGAGAGAATGAGATGGGAAAAAAAAACCACCCCACCTCGTGGGTCAAGATAAAGGCAGTTTAATAAAGAAAAGCAAAAGCAAAGGCCGCGCACAGTAGCAAAAGGAAAAATAAGATTTTATTCTCTACTTCCCATTAGCAGGCGATGTCCAGCCACTTCCCAGGAAGTAGGGCTTCAGTATACATAGTTGTTCCTCCCAAAGACAAAATGTCACAAAAGACGAATGTCCCCCCTCCTCTTCCTTTTCCCTTAGTTTTTATATCTTAGCTGACGTCATATGGTATGGAATATCCCTTTGACTGGTTTGGGTCAGGTGTCTTGGCTATGTCCCCTCCCAAGATCTTGCCCCCTTCCAGCCCACTGGTGGGGGGGAAATGCTGGAGGGACAGCCTTGATATTGTTCGAGCACTGCTCAGTAGTAGCCAAAACATTGGTGTGTTATCAACCCCTTTCTACATACCAATAGAAAGCACATCACTATGCAGCTTGACCCAATACAACCTCCACCCCTTATTCCATATCATTTAGGTCGTACTCGTGTTCCACGTAATTCAGCACATACAGATATATATATTCGAACCATTCCAGTGTGCTTAATTCTCATTACCGAAATCCTTTCTTACCAACACTTACAACTTAGACTACATACTTAAACCATCTTCATACCCATCATACAGATTTATACATTCTCATTAACTTCTGTTCCCTGTCCTTGTCCCAACCTACGAGCCCTTTGATTTACTTTTCTCTCCTCTGTCCAGTTAAAGAGGGGAGCGACAGAGTGGCTTGGTGGCACCTGGCAACCAGCCAAGGTCAAACCACCACAACAATTCTTAAATTAATTAAAAAATATCAAAATTACTTGAAACTGTTTTACTAAAGTCTACATCATGATAGCAAGAGAAGTGTTCAGGATCGTTTAGCTGGATTCTTCAGCAATACCGTATTTTTAACACCGCAAGAAGTTTTAACATTTTGACTACATAAGCATTTATGCATACCGTCTCACTGATCTCAGATATAGAGTATAATCTATAAAGCTTCAGATACTATTTTTACTATCTAAATTCAGAATCTTAATTTCATGTACTGCAGCCCTCTCCATTTTTCTTTGCCTGTAACATGAGGATATTACTTTTAAGCTACAGAAATAGCTGAAGCATTCAACACTACCTGAGTAGGTGTCACAGGCAGAATTTAGATGCATTGGCTCAGCACAACAGTCTGATTGCCAAGAAGGCAATGAGAAAAACCTAAAGTTAACTTTTGACCGAAAAAGTGGGGGCTATGCTTCCTAAGTTCAGAATTCACTTTCTAATTTTTCACTTTTGAGATATATTTTGAAAATGTGATTTCAGACAAGTTCCTACAATTCACATCCCCTATCAGTCAATCATTACTGTAATGTCTTTATTCCTGACTCTCTTACTATGAAATTACTTCTTAGTATTATTGTGAAATATGTACCCTTCGAGATGCTCAAAAGATACTGACTAGACAAGACCCTGAGCAACATGCTGTGAGTTGGCCCTATTTTGAATGTGGAGTTGGGACAGATCACCTCCAGAGATCTCTTTCAACCTATATAATTCTGTGATACAAGTTTCTATTTCTTCTTTCAACGTTCTCTTTCTGTCTTATACAGAATCTTCGAGGCTACAGAAAACAAGAAAAAAATTTCTGCAGAATCACAAAAGATTGGTCAAATATTTAAATTTCCCATAGAATTCTTTTAGGCATACATAGCTGGTTGATATTCAAGAGCTGAAATACAGCGACAAGGATATTAGCAATGTATGGTACAATACCTTCCTCTTGCTGGCTGCAATGACAGCAGGAAGCCACCGACTCTCTCTAGTGTCCATTAGCAGGAAAACAACATCATGAGCATCAATAAGCTCTTCAAGTTTAGCCACGTCCTTCCGAGCCTGTGCCATTGTTACTTCAGAAAAATTCACTGGGTGGCCTGGCATAGGGATGCTCATGTTATAGCCTTCTGAACTCTAGATGGAGAGAAAGAAAACAGCATATTAAGATAACCCTGTGACTGAACAGAATTATTATAAAGTTCAATACAGAATTGTAAGGTACAAATTCAATTACTGTTTGGCAGAATGGCAACTTTATTCTTTACATCTCTCTCTGTATCAGTGCTGTGCACTAAAGCACAACACTAAAGCTTCTGAGGGAATGGCAGTCTCAGTTGCTATATTTATGCAGAACAGAGCAACTCGATGCAAACACATTGGTTTAGATTATGAGAATAGACCAACCATGTTCAGGTGGCTCTGTGCCTGAATTAACAAGCCCCGTCTCTCAGAAGGTCTTACTAGGTCTGGCAAATCAGTACAAGATAGTTGAACTTCCCCGAATCCCAGAGGTAACAAACATCACTACAAAAGCAAGCAGACAGATCTCACATATGATTATAATCATGCTGTTAAACTTAGATAAAAACTTTGTCCTGGATTATCTTCGCAGCCACTTCACACACAATGATAACAGGATGTAGTTTATATTTCTGGTATCGAATACTGACTCAATTACAGTAAGACAGATGCCATGTATCACATTCTTCTCTTTGTTTTACATTCTTTGTAAGAAGAACAACAGTCTCAAATGATTTTCATGTCATTCCACCAGCCATATGTGAACTTGATATAGAATAACTTCTGAGACTTGTTACTCCAGTGCTTGGATGTCTGGAGGCTTGTGCTGATGCTGAAAGAGCCTGTTCTTATTGCAGAAACATATGCCTCTTCCAACTCCATATTTGGGCAAGGCATATTGAGCATAAAATGGCTAACGAGCCAAATAAGCATATACAATGCAAATTCACTCATTTGGGAATATGTTAACACAATCTGCCAGCCATCTGCTATAACAGAATAATAGATCCTTCATATATGTTACAGAAGCACAGGCCTCGCCAAAGTCTCCTGTGCTTGTGCTGTAAGCAGCTAACAATTTAAAAGCCAAAATTTAAAAGCTAGATGAACCAAACATAAAATTACATGGAAAGAAAGGAAAGGAACATCAGCGGAACATGCTTTTTAAAGACCAGTTACATGCACAACACACAAATTCAGGTGAGCCAAATAACCAGAAGGGTGAAGTATATATTCCATACATCATAAATATCCCTGAAGATAAAAAGAAATAGACATATATAGCAGCTTGGGGAAATTAATTTGGGTAATATCTGCATCAACCATACCAAAGGATGTACCTTTTCTTCCCCCCCCATTCTTCCTCCCCCTAGCCCCTACCACCTCCAAGGAGAAAAATGTAGAGTCCGCAGGGATCTCATATGCTGTTAACAGGGCAGCTCCACTCTGTTCCAGTGAGGATAGCCTGGATTCTGCATCACCAGCACAGACACTGCACAATGATGCACAATTACTGGAGGAGGTTTTACCTTCACTGTTATTTAACTCCTTCAAAAAGCTGTGGCAGGAACACAAAACTTAATCCACTCTGTATATGAGTAATGTATTTATGGATAACTCATCAAGCCCGTGCACTGCATACAAGTGCTGATTTATTACATAAGTATAACTGACACTGTTGGTGACTTAGGATGTCGATTTTTGCTCAAAAAACTAAAATGAACAAGTAAACAAATAAGTTGAACACTAGCTGCATGGAAATTTGGTAACAAGGTTTGTAAAATACTAAAATCTTACCAGAAGTCAGAAAAACACTCTATCCAGTGACTGTAGCTGTAGGAATACATACATGGTCCCCCACAACATCCTTCTCTCTAAATTGGAGAGCTATGGATTTGATGGGTGGACTGTTTGGTGGATAAGGAACTGGCTGGATGGTCGCGTCCAGAGGGTAGTGGTCAATGGCTCAATGTCCGGATGGAGACCAGTGACGAGTGGTGTCCCTCAGGGGTCCGTACTGGGACCGGTGCTCTTTAACATTTTCATCAATGACTTAGACAGCGAGATCGAGTGCACCCTCAGCAAGTTTGCGGATGACACCAAGCTGAGTGGTGAGGTTGACACACCAGAAGGAAGGGATGTCATCCAAAGAGACCTGGACAGGCTGGAGAGGTGGGCCTGTGTGAACCTCATGAGGGTCAACAAGGCCAAGTGCAAGGTCCTGCACCTGGGTTGGGGTAACCCCCAGTATCAATACAGGCTGGGGGAAGAAAGGA